ATCGAGAATGGCATATAACTACATGCAATATTATTACTTCAACCACTGGAATCTGCTGGCGCCTCTAGAGATTTCAGCGGATGATGAACTCATTTTGCATCTGGCTGTGTGTTGCCTCTGCCCATAGCATAATTCAGTTCACAACTGTCCAAGCAGAGTTTCTCAAGTGTAACTGTTACATATATATTTGCTAATTCTTGGATATTCATCAGTGTTTGCAGTGGGACAGGTGATTCTCTGGGAGTGTGGACAAAGCAAGTGACATGGATATGTGACTGTATGCATAAAAATATATCTCTACTAAGCTGTCAACACACTACTATTCAAATATACGTTCTCATTAGTTCATAAGTACAGTCAGTACTCTGTATCCATGGATTCTGTACCCATGGATTCCATCATCCGTAACAATTTTTTTTTAACAAATCCAAAAAACAAATCTTAATTTTGCTATTTTATAATAATCCCTGCATATATCAAAGGCCCACTTTAATGCTTTAGTTGGACAAGGGCTAAAGCTGTTCCATCATGGAAGCAAGAGCAACAAAGTCTGAGTGGGATCATCTATGAGATCTACTAATACTAACCTATCACAGCAGATTTATAGGTATTGCCAATGGGATTTTGGCCTGCATCAATAGGAGCATAGTGTCTAGGTCCAGGGAAGTAATGCTACCCCTCTATTCTGCTTTGGTTAGACCACACCTGGAATATTGTGTCCAATTCTGGGCACCACAATTCAAGGGAGATATTGACAAGCTGGAATGTGTCCAGAGGAGGGCGACTAAAATGATCAAGGGTCTGGAGAACAAGCCCTATGAGGAGCGGCTTAAGGAGCTGGGCATGTTTAGCCTGAAGAAAGAAGGCTGAGAGAGATATGATAGCCATAAATATGTGAGAGGAAGCCACAGGGAGGAGGGAGCAAGCTTGTTTTCTGCTTCCTTGCAGACTAGGACGCGGAACAATGGCTTCAAACTACAAGAGAGGAGATTCCATCTGAACATGAGGAAGAACTTCCTGACTGTGAGAGCCGTTCAGCAGTGGAACTCTCTGCCCCGGAGTGTGGTGGAGGCTCCTTCTTTGGAAGCTTTTAAACAGGCTGGATGGCCATCTGTCAGGGGTGATTTGAATGCAATATTCCTGCTTCTTGGCAGGGGGTTGGACTGGATGGCCCATGAGGTCTCTTCCAACTCTTTGATTCAATGATTCTAGGATTGGACACAGAATAGATAGTGACTTTACAGGTATTAGACTGGTAACACAATGCATAACTGGCAAATATGTCAGGGAATGTTTATCATGCTAGTTCTACCTGGAATATTAATTGATTGGTATAGTCCAAGAGGGATATTTCCTTGGTTTGAGACAGCAAAAAGTCTTGGGCAGACTTGAGTTCTTGCATCTATTTGTTACTTCCTATTACTATAAGTCGAAAGAGGCTTGGAAGGGGTGAGAAAGAATCTTGGGTAAAGTATTATTTGCTGCACAATTGTTTCTCATGTGCTGCTGGATTGACCCAGAAGTCAACATTTTAGTGCATACACTTGGATGTGTAAAAGGACATAGGAGGAAATGAACTGTATTGATTTTAATTCCAAGAATGGCTAGTAGTTGGCCTCTCCACTGCCCAAAAAATGCTGTTCCCCCTCCTGTTTGTTTTTACCTTTCTTTTCCCAGTAGTGGGACTGATCGGTTTCACAAAAGAGAATGAAACAGAAGTGCGGGGCTAGCTGGCTTTACATATCCACACAGAAGAGCCAGCTAAACACATTCCTCTTCTGGCTAACTCAGCCAATTCTATGTTGCCTTGCTGGAATCCACCACCACCGCTAGTTTTTCTTTTGCACAGGCAAGTTGCAAGATTTGGAGCAAGACTCTAGGCTCAGTATTTTGCTTGTGAGTAATGTGAGAGTGCACTTAACATCTTGTCCTAAGTAAAATGTGATCCAAATGGAAACAGCTTGGCTCTTGTTGTTATATGTCTACAGGTCAACTTTGATTTATAGCAACCCTACACTTGGCAAGATTGATTAATAGGATCGACTTTCATTTAAGGTTGAGAGTGTGCAACTTGCCAAAAGTCGTCCAGCAAGTTTCCATGGCTGAATACAGATTTAAACTATGGTCTTCTAGAGTCCTAGGGAACATCTACATACATAAGTGTTTCTCAACCTTCCTAATGCCACGACCCCTAAACACCTCATGTTGTGGTGATCCCCAACCATAAAATTATTTTTGTTGCTACTTCATAACTGTAATTTTGCTACTGTTATGATATTTACTTAATGTAAATATCTGATATGCAGGATGTATTTTCATTCACTGGACCAAATTTGTGCCAAATTCTGCTGGAGTTGGGGGGTGGGGGGTTGATTTTGTCATTTGGGAGTTGTAGTTGCTGGGATTTATAGCTCACCTACAATCAAAGAGCATTCCGAACTCCACCAACATTGGTATTGAACCAAACTTACCACACAGAACTCCCACGACCAAGAGAAAATACTGGAAGAGTTTAGTGGGCATTGACCTTGAGTTTTGGAGTTGTAGTTCACCTACCTACAGAGAGCACTGTGGACTCAAACAATGATGGATCTGTACCAAACTTGGCATGAATATTCAATATGGCCAATATGAACACTGGTGGGTTTTGGGGAAAATAGACCTTGACATTTGGGAGTTGTAGTTGTTGGGATTTATCATTCACCTACAATCAAAGAGCATTCTGAACCCCACCAACGATAGAAGTGGGCCAAACTTCCAACATAGAAACCCCATGACCAGCAGAAAATATTTTCTGATGGTCTTTGGTGACCCCTCTGACACCCCCTCGTGACTCCCTCAACTTGCCACAATTTATTATGATTCACACCGTCAAAGGCCATATTAGTATTAGTATTAAATTGTATTACATGATAATATTACATTATAATATTACTAGCCATCCCCTGCCTGTGCATTGCTGTGGTCCCAGTCTGTGTATATGTGTTTTGTGTGTGTATATGTGTGTATATATTTGCGTATATGTGTTTATGCATAAATACACATGTGGTTATGCTGAAGCCCCCAGTCGCGCAGTGGGTTAAACTGTTGAGCTGTTAAACTTGCTATCCGAAAGGTTGCAAGTTCGAATCCGGGAAGCGGCATGAGCTCCCGCTGTTAGCCCCAGCTTCTGCCAACCTAGCAATTTGAAAACATGCAAATGTGAGCAGATCAATAGGTACCTCTCCAGCGGGAAGGTATCGGTGCTCCATGCAGTCATGCAGGCCACATGACTTTGAAGGTGTCTATGGACAATGCCGGCTCTTGGGCTTAGAAATGGAGATGTGCACCAACAACCCACCCACACTGCGTTTTTCAGTGTTTTTATGAGTGATGGTCACTCATTGGCCTGGATAGGTGCATTGTGTCCAAATTTGGTGTCAATCCGCCCAGTAATTTTTGAGTTATGGTAGTCCCACAAAGGAACATAACATTTTTATTTATATAGATAAATATTAGAAATATTAAACTAATCACTTTATGCCAGCCGTGGTTGACTCCCCTTTGTGACACCCTTCCTGTTCTGTCGCTGCTGGACCTGAAATGAAGTGCCTTTAAGAGAAGATGTATGGCTTGAATCCAGCGGGAAGCCAGGGGGCCCAAAAAGGAGCCTTTAGAGAAATTTCCCACATTAAACAGTCTTTAGGAGGCTTGAGCTTAAATATAAAAGTCTTTTATTGATGAACAAACAGGAATTGTAAAGTTTGCTTGGTAAAGAAACCAGTTCTCTCAAACTTGTCCACAGGGAACAGGCACTATCTTCAATAACTTTGTTCAATGGAAAATTCCCCTTTTTTAGCTCCTCCCAGGCTACTGTGAACCTAAACCTGACTGATTTGGATCTACTACCGGCTGAACTGTGTCTCAGAACCGAGCAGACGTACCAGCAGGCCTGTAGTCACTTAGGTGGAGATCTTGATGGTTAGAGCTGTTATTCCTTCGGGAATTCCTCAGGGCTGTAAGGCTGTTTCCCCGGAAACTTTGGAAATCTTTAGAGGCTCTCAAGACTGTTTCTCCCCCGGGAAGTCTTAAGGGACGAAACCTTTGCACAGGAGGACGTATGTATACATCCTCTTCATTGACTTCCTTTGCTGAGACTAACTGAAAAATGGCCCCTTCCCTCCAAAAAACCAGAGAGGGGCGGGACCAGGGACCTTAACTATTATTGACAGGTGGCTTACCCTATGAATGCAGCCAAAGGAGCCACCTATCTGCAAAGTCCCTGCAACTTAGGACTATGAACAAACACTCAGTGCAAAGCACAAAATTGGAGCCCCTGGAACAGCCGTTCCAGAACACTCCCCCAATATTGTATTAGTAATGCTTTCTAAGGGTCCATCCACATTGCAGAATTAATGCAGTTTGACACCACTTTAACTGCCACGGCTCAATACTATAGGATCCTATGAGTTGTAGTTTGGTGAGACACCAGTACTCTTGGGCAGAGAAGGCTAAATGTGTAGTACAACTATAACTCTGGAGCCATACAGCCCGGAAAACTCACAGCAACCCACTGTGTTTGTGTAAATATTTCTTTCCCTCCCTTCCCCCCTCCCCCTCCCCTCCCCCTCCCCTCCCCCTCCCAGCCTGAAGCACAGCACGGGAGGGGGGCGTAACCCGCCGCGTGCGTGTTGCCAGCCTCGTCCCCATTGGTGGAGAAATTAAGCCCCGCCCACACAAACTTCCAGCTGGCTGCGGGGAAGCCCCTCCCCTTTTCCACACCCCCTTTTTCCCCTTCTCCGAGCGACCAGAGACTGCCTGGAGATGGAGAAGGATAGAGCTCTTTTCCTATTGGCTGGCCGCCTTCGCGATCCGCGATTGGTCGGCGGGGTTGGTTGGGGGGCGTGGCGGGAGCGTTGTGATTGGCTGCGGAGGGGGGGTGTGCGCGCGAGGAGGATGGAAGGCAGGCAGGAGCCTTAGCAGCAGCCGCTTTCGCAGAAGCAGCAGCATTGGCCGCAGTCCTTTCCCCGCGTCCTCTTCCATCATGAGCCGGGGAAGCAGCGCTGCTTCCTGCCCGGCCTCGGCGCCCGGAGACGGCCAGGGCAGCGGGCTAGGCCGGCGGGTCTGCAGCAACTGCCGGAAAGTCCTCAGGCAGGTGAGTGAGAGAGGCTCTGCGCATACAGACAAGTAAACAGTAAACAACAGGGTCAGAGACAAACAAGGCTTGAAGGAGGTTGGCATTTCCAACACAGAGGCAACACTTTGATTGCCAAGGCTAGGGAATCCAGGCAGGCCCCTTCCTTTCACACTTTGAAATGGCAGTGTGGACT